TCAAATCATATCAAAAAACACAAAATGCTCCTTGTGCAAAGACAATTTATAATTGTTCCAGACAGAAGCACGGAATAGAAAGTAATTAAAGGGGGTGGCATTTTTAGAAGTCAATATTGTGTGTTAATTCTATTCACATCACTTGTCATTAGCCTCTCGCTACAGTCGTCATCAATCCATTTTAAGCAATTTAGCTCGTCATTCTTTCAGAGTGAGATTTAGGGGTTGTTAACTCAACACATATTCTGTATTCTGTCTGGAATACATGGATATCCTCCTCTGTATTAAATCTCACAAAGTGTTTTTGTGTTCCAATGAGCAGCTTTTTAGTTGTTCTATATTTATATTTACATTCCTTCCTCATCGATCCATATAATTTGCATAGAGAAAATAATCCAAAATGCACAAACAAGAAACTTCAGTCATGTTTATTTTTGCTCAATTACTCTCTAAATTACTAATTACTTTACTTTCAATCAAGTATATTTTTTTGCTATACTTGGACTTTTAACAGAGTAAAATCGCTACTCAGTATCAATACTGCAAGTTTCAGAAGGCCTCATTAACCCCGTGGAGCCGTATGGATTACTTTTATGATAGATGGATGTGCTTTTTTGGGCTTCAAAATCTCATTTATGATTCACTCCCATTATAAAGCTTGGAATAGAAGAATTTAAAATAGTTATAGCCTATATGTTACTCTGATTGTGTTTAGATGAAAGAGGAAAGTGATAGGGTGAGTAGCTAGCTAATTCATGAGATCATTTTCATTTTTGGGTCAACTATCCCTTTAAGGTGGATGAATTTTTTGTTAGTATTAATTACAAAATCAAACAATGTATTACACAATTAGTTCTTCACGTTGCTTTTTCTATAGAAACAGGACATTTTAACCCCTGAGTCTCGCTTGGAGCCTTGTGACCTAAATGTGCCTGGTGGGATGAGGCAGGTTTCAGAGTGATTTACTGTGAAAAGGTCACCATCTGCCTCTAGTGCCCCCAGATCCAGATCCTCGACCCCTCCTCTTCACACATGCTGTATGAGCGTAAAGCCTACATGATCTCAGACAGGACTGTGTTTTAGATGGTCTTGGGAAAGATCTACCTTGAAAATAAGTTAATGTTGTTCACAAGCATGAGCCGAGAGCGTCATGACCACACTGCGCCCTGCTGGTGAGACTTGATCATTGCTGTCGAGTATAAAGGTTCTTCTTAAAGTCCCCCTGGTCAATAATTGTATCCCTTAAAACTCATCTTTGATCACCAAAATGACATGTCTCCATGCCTTAAAATAGCTTAAATGCAACTCTAAACCCTTTAGTAGACTACGCGGATATATGAATATGCAAATTAGCCCCGCCTCCACTCGCTCACTAGCTAAGAGACTCGTTGACTTGTTAATCTGATTGGTTACAAGGTATTTTGTGAGGTCAGAAACGAGAGATTTTTGAGACTGACTTTGGTTCACTGCAGTTTTAAAGAGAAAATACTCAGCAATGCTGTCGACTTATGAATTTACATGGTTTGTCTTAAAGCACAGTATATTAGAAACATCACATAGACATATAAACAACATTAATTTTCACCACAGGGGGACTTTAATGGGGATATATGTTTCCATGAAGAACTTGCATAATATTTCCATTGCACAAAAGGCTCCTTATATATTTCTTTAAAATGTAAAAAAAAAAAACCCATTTTGGTTCCCAATAATCCATTCAGTAAACAGTTCAGTAAAGACGTGACTATAGAAATAGGCTACACTTGAAAAGGTTTTTGTCTAATGGGCTCTATAATAACTTTCAATAACAACATTGATTTACATTATATCATCATATAGTACTCTATTAGTTAATCATGAACGTTTTATTCATAGTTATTTTCACATTCAAGTAACCACAAAAGGTATTTGATGTGTGAATGTCACTGCATTAGACTCAATATAAAACCACTTCATCGGCAAATAAATTATGCTTGACTTTTTCCTCAGGAGTAACTTTACTTATTGTGCAACCTGTATGCAATTACAATATTTATATTAAAATTGATTTATATGAGATCAGCATATTTCAGCACTGATGAGAAAATAGTAGTACGGTTTTAGGTTTGTTTATTATGAATAATAATTGTGGTAAAATCTGCACACACTGTTTATTCCATATCAAAGCAAAATAAATGTATAACAATGACAAGTTGATCTTGAATTTCCAAAGATAGTAAGTGATCCATTTAAGAAAAAAAAATAAAATAAATTATATGTATTTTATCATAGATAAATAACTATGTCTCTTGTTTTGTATATAAAAGCATATTTTTATTCTTCTAAGAATCTCTGCTACCAGTCTAAACGCATGTGATAATATACATACACAATATGTACATAAACTCTCTCTCACTCTCACACACACACATGTTGGGTTTACATATTTTATGGGGACTTTCCATAGACAATGATTTTTATATTGTACAAACTGTATGTTCTCTCCCCTTACACCAACTCTACCCCTAAACCTACTCACTCACTCGCTCAGACTCGCTCGTTCGCTCACTCAAACTCGCTTGCTCACTCACTCACTCACTCAGACTCACTCACTCACTCAGACTCGCTCACACACTCAGACAATCAGACTCACTCACTCAATCAGACTCGCTTACTCATATACTCAGACAATCAGACTCACACACTCAATCAGACTCGCTTACTCATATACTCAGACAATCAGACTCACACACTCAGTCAGACTCACTCACACACTCACTCAGACTCGCTCACACACTCACTCACTCAGACTCGCTCACACACTCAGACAATCAGACTCACTCACTCAATCAGACTCGCTTACTCATATACTCAGACAATCAGACTCACACACTCAATCAGACTCGCTTACTCATATACTCAGACAATCAGACTCACACACTCAGTCAGACTCACTCACTCACTCACTCAGACTCGCTCACACACTCAGACAATCAGACTCACTCACTCAATCAGACTCGCTTACTCATATACTCAGACAATCAGACTCACACACTCAGTCAGACTCACTCACACACTCACTCAGACTCGCTCACAGACTCACTCACTCAGACTCGCTCACTCACACACTCACTCACTCACTCAGACACACACTCACTCACTCAGACTCGTTCACTCACACACTCAGACAGTCTGACTCACTCACACAGACGCACTCACTCAGACTCACTCACTCACACACTCAGACAATCAGACTCACACACTCAATCAGACTCGCTTACTCATATACTCAGACAATCAGACTCACACACTCAGTCAGACTCACTCACTCACTCACTCAGACTCGCTCACACACTCAGACAATCAGACTCACTCACTCAATCAGACTCGCTTACTCATATACTCAGACAATCAGACTCACACACTCAGTCAGACTCACTCACACACTCACTCAGACTCGCTCACAGACTCACTCACTCAGACTCGCTCACTCACACACTCACTCACTCACTCAGACACACACTCACTCACTCAGACTCGTTCACTCACACACTCAGACAGTCTGACTCACTCACACAGACGCACTCACTCAGACTCACTCACTCACACACTCAGACAGTCAGACTCACACACTCAGACAGTCAGACTCACTCACACACTCACTCAGACTCGCTCACTCAGACTCGCTCACTCACTCACACACACACACACTCACTCAGACTCACTCACTCACTCAGACTCGTTCATTCACACACTCAGACAGTCTGACTCACTCACACAGACGCACTCACTCAGACTCACTCACTCAGACTCGTTCACTTACACACTCAGACAGTCAGACTCACACACTCAGACTCACTCACACACTCACTCAGACTCGCTCACTCAGACTCGTTCACTCACACACTCAGACAGTCTGACTCACTCACACAGACGCACTCACTCAGACTCGCTCACTCACACTCACTCACTCACTCACACACACACTCACTCAGACTCGTTCACTCACACACTCAGTCAGACTCACACACTCATTCACTCAGACTCTTTCACTCACACACTCAGACAGTCAGACTCACTCACACACTCACTCTCACAGATTCGTTCACTAACAGTCAGACTCAATCACTTACACACTCAGACTCACTCACTCAGTCACTCTCACAGATTCGCTCACTCACACACTCAGACTCACTCACTCACTCACTCAGACTCACTCACTCACTCACTCACTCACTCACTCACTCACTCACTTACTCACACACTCAGACTTACTCACTCACTCACTCACTCACTCAGACTCACTCACTCACTCACTCACTCACTCACTCAGACTCACACACTCTCTCACTCACACACTCACACACTTAGGCTCACTCACTCGCTCACACACTCAGACTCACTCACTCACTCACTCAGACTCACACACTCTCTCTCACTTACACACTCACACACTTAGGCTCACTCACTCGCTCACACACTCAGACTCACTCACTCACTCAGACTCACTTACTCAGACTCACTTGCGCTCACTCACACACTCACTCACTTGCGCTCACTCACTCAGACTCATTTGTGCTCACTCACTCAGACTCACTCACTCGCGCTCACTCACTCATTCGTTCACTCGCTCACTCGCTCACTCACTCACTCACTCAGACTGTATTTTTACACTAAATTAGAGGGATTATTTGCAATCAGGGAGCTTATGTCAGCCTTGTAGTTATATCTATGGGTTGGTAACAGAAAGTTCACATTTGATCTCTGATAGAAACCCTTGAGTATTAAACCACAAGGCAAAGGTCTTACATCGTACACCACTTTGGCTAAATGACTATACTATTTGCATATTTAATACTTATGCAGTGAATAAACCGCATGAGCGATGCTGTCCCAAATGGATTCTGCCTGCATGTGCAAATATCTATAGCAACCATTTATCAGAGGCCTTATATTACACAAAATTAAATGCACAAAAAAAAAATGCTTTGTGTTTATAATTATGATATTAAAACTGGTAATGCTTCTGAAATGTATGTTGATTCTGTAATGGCCATATTTTAATTTACACTCTGGGCAACAAATAAAAACAACCAGACATAAACAAACAAACAAATAAAAAACATGTCACTCACTACAACATGGAACACTGAACGACTGATATACATTCAGACAAAACCGACCTAAAGAATGAAGACTAAATCAAATCCCGCTCATCTTCTATTTATATCCTAGAAATGACGTATGTGGACTAGATTCATCGTAGATTTCTGTTCACACTCAATCAATTCCGTTCTGCTATCTTACAATTTAGGGGACTGAGACCAAGCCAGAGGGCAGAACTGATGCTTGTGTAAGAATCTATTGCTGCTTATGTCATTTTTAGGCAATAATTACAGTATGCAAGTAAAACAAATAGATGCATTATTTCTCTCCTTTTCACTTTCTTACAAAAAACCTTGATGAGGAGTGAAGGATGCACGTGTGTGTGTTGTCATAGTTTGGTCACACAACTCTGTCGCCTCATAAACCGGCTAAATGAGACGGAAAGCTAGTTTAAACACTAGTGATTCTGATTCCAGATATCCTGATTGACTCGCAATTAAAAGAAACCGTATGAAACACTTCATGTAGAACATAAGCAACTTCTAGAAGTGTTCTCACTTGACACTATCTTCATATATATGTCCATAACGAGGACTTGTGACATCAGTGCACTTGTTTAAACAACATGTAAGGAATGGTTAAGTATTTGACAGTACCGTGTACTAAACAGTCCTAGCGCTGCCGCGGACTCTTCAGCAATAGGGAAAGAGCAACTGTCAATCATTCGAGCCCATATGTGGTGACATTTTAAAACTTTCACTTTAAAGGGATCCTGATCTCAGCTCAGTTCAAGGTGGGATTCCATTTGAACGTGCCTGGCCTCTGATTGGCTGTGTCCGGTGATTGAACAATAATGCGACGACTGATTGGCTGAGTTTTGGCTCGTAGTGAATCTCGCGTAGGGTTAATGTCTTTTGGCCCGCTGAGCACTCTGGGCACAGGACGCACAGCAGGCGGTCTTGTAAAAGGTGTAGACGCAGAGCCGAGCCTGGACCACCATTACACAGTTATGTTGCCTGTCTTTACAGTTCTCATCTACAAAGAGAGAGAGAGAGACAGAGAGAGAGATAGGAAGCGAGAGGGATTATAATCTAAACCAGGGCTGTTCAATCTGTTAGATGCCAAGGACCCTCAAATATGATCATTCTTATACGAGGGACCCCCATCCTGAAATTTAAAGTCAAAGAAAGAAAATGATCCAATTAATACTGTGACAAATTTATATTATAAATGTTTCAAATATGTCTACTTGTAAATGTTTCTATTACATTACATCATTGCGTTTTTTTTTCTACTCAATATACTGTATTTTGTAAGTTAGACATATTTGATTCATTTATATTTTTATCAAATTATATTTAATCAAATGTTCTTATTTAGTCACTTTAATATTATTATCATTATTTTATATTTTTTAAACAATATTTCTATTTAAATCAATTTTTTTTATTTAATTATGTAGTATCGTGAAATGTATTATTCTAATCAAATGGTACTTATTTATTTTAATCAAATGTTTTTATTTATGTACTGTAGTTATTTATTTTTATTTAAATGAAATGCTATTTATTTATTTTAATTATTATTTTATTTTAATACAAAGTATTCATTTATTATAATTTTTTATAATCAAATTTTATTAATGTATTTTAATCAAATGTTTTTATCTATTCATAAACAATTTTTTTTAGATTTTTTTATCTAATGTGCAAATTTATTACATATTTATTTAAATACAATTTATAATGGTTTTCCTTTTAATCAAATTTATTTATTTATTTAGGTAGTTTCATTTTCTTTTACATTTTTATTAAAATTGTATTTATTTATATAGCTTTATTAAATATATCATTTTAATCAAATTGTATTTATTTGAAATATTATATATTATTTATTCATTTTAATCAAATGTTTTTTTTTTGTACCTATTTATTTTTTATTTAAATCACATGTTATTTATTTATTTAATTTAAATAAAATGTATCAACATTATTTTTAAACAAATATTTATTTATTTATTTACAAAAATACATTTTTGGCTAATGTATACATTATTTATTAATTTATTTAATTTTTTTATTTTAATCAAATTTATATATCGCTGCTTTTCTCTAAACTTTTCCCGGACCTCAGTTTGAAAGTCCTGCCACAATACACTCACACACACACACACACACCTTCAAAGGGACTGCAGGGAATGGTGTTACAGGTCTGCTCATGTGCAGGTTTGGTGTGGAGGTCGCAGTCTGCACTGTACTGTTTGTCTGCTGAGAGACACCGGACCTCCCGCGTCTGCACCCCTTTACCACAGGAGCGAGAGCACTACACCGAAACAGAGGAGCACTTAATAACAGCAGAATAAGGGAAGACCCTGGAGGACAGATTGATTGACAGATGATGTCATCCTCACCGTGCTCCATTCGGTGGTGAACCACTGTGGTTTGCAGGGCTCCAGTTCACACGACTGCACTGGGTACGGTTTCTCCAGGTGGGAGCACTCACTGATGCCGATCACGGTGAAGTCACTTCCTGTCTTCTTCACACAGATGACGTCCCTGCGCTGGGTGCCGTTCCCACACACTGCGTTACACTGTTGACAGAGTGAACACACACTCAAAAACAGTTCACTTTTCTATTCTATTCTATTCTATTCTATTCTATTCTATTGTTTAATGTTTTTCTATTCTACAGCTCTACATTTAATTCTGTTCTACTCCTTTAATATTTATTCTATTCAACTTTATTCTATTCTACATTATTCTATTCTATTTTATTTTTTAGTTCGTAATTTTACGAGGGTTCTTTTGATGTCATTCTACATTATTCTTTTCGCATTTTAGAATGTTTCAATTGATTTATTTTAACTTTATTGTTAACTATATTGTTCTACACTTAACTTTATTCTATGCAATTTTATTCTGTTCGATCTTTCATGGTTCTATACTGTTTTAGTTGTTCCATTTATTTGTATTAAGTTTATTTGATGTTCTATTCTATTCTACACTATTCTACTTTAGAATGTTCTAATCATAATAATTGTAACTATTCTTATTGGCTAGTACTGTTGTACATTTTACTTTGTTCTCTTCTATCCATCTTTATTCTATGCAACTTAATTCTGCTCTAATAAACAATATTCCATTCTATTTCATTTTGTTCTATTTCCTTTTATTAGGTTTCTTTTATATCATTCAACAGTATTCTATTCTTTTTTAAATAATCTAATTGATTTATTTTAACTTTATTGTTAACTACGTATATTGTTCTACACTTAACTTTATTCTATGCAATTTTATTCTGTTCGATCCTTCATGGTTCTATACTGTTTTATTTGTTCTATTTATTTGCATTAAGTTTATTTGATGTTCTATTCTATTCTACACTATTCTACTTTAGAATGTTCTAATCATAATAATTTTAACTATTCTTATTGGCTAGTACTGTTGTACATTTTACCTTGTTCTCTTCTATCCATCTTTATTCTATGCAACTTAATTCTGCTCTAATAAACAATATTCCATTCTATTTCATTTTGTTCTATTTCCTTTTATTAGGTTTCTTTTTATATCATTCAACAGTATTCTATTCTTTTTTAAATAATCTAATTGAATTATTTTAACTTTATTGATATTCTATTCTGTAATAATTAATTTTGTTCAATTTAATTTCATTGGCTTTTCTTTGATGTTGTTCAATTCCACATTCTATTCTATTTCTGAATTGACATATCTTAACTTTATCTTAATTGCTTTCTAATTGTTCTGTTCTATTCTGTTATTCCATTCCACATTGTTTTTAACTTCATTCTATGTAATGTATTCTGTTCTATTAATTGTTCTTCTATTCTACACCGTTCTATTATATTTAGTTCTATTTCTATTCATTGTTCTTCTATTCTACATCATTCTATTATATTTAGTTTTATCTCTATTCATGGTTCTTCTATTCTACATCGTTCTATTATATTTAGTTCGATTTCATTTTATTCATTTTCTTTGATGTTGTTCTTTTATTCATATTTCAATTCTATTCTATTATTCCACTTCATTCATTGACCTTGAGGTCTTCTTCAATTCTATAATATATTTCTATTCTATTCTTACAAAGGCCTTGCCATTGGAATATAATTGACAGATTTTTTGCTGTAGACACAGGGGCCTCACCTGTCCCCAGGGTCCAGTGTACCACAGGTGGGTGGGTGTACAGGGACCCCCGTTACAGGCCTTCATATCAGCCGGTTTCTCTGCCATACAGTCCACTCCACCGTCTCTTTCTTTCCTGCCTCCACCGGTCAAACACACCACCTCTCTCCGCTGGACACCCGGCCCGCACGTCGCAGAACACTGAGAGAGAAAGAGAGAGAAACAATAACTCATTTTGATTAAATATCGACCTTTTTTTTGCAAATCTAGTGCAAGCATGAGTCTCTCTGGTCAGTACTCACAGTGTTTGTCCAATCCGTGAAGTACCAATTAGTGACACAAGGACCCATGTGACAGTCCTCGGTGCGCTGTGGGCGGAGCCTGTCATTGCACTCCCTGTCACTCATAGTGCTACCATGGTTACTGACACAGCGTACGCTCCTGGTTCTCTTTCCCACTCCACAATCCACTGAACACTGTGGGAAAACAGTGTCTGTTATCATACATGCAGACAGCTCAAACACGACTATGTGTCTCTGGAGGTAAACACATAGACTTAGATAGACTAGACTAAAAGCAAAACAACATTTTTCCAAATCAACTAGTCAGTTGGTTGAACAACTACAGTAGCCAGAACATGTTTCATTAGCACAAGACACATTTTTGCCTGTTAAAACAGCAAGACAGAAAGCAATATGGAACAATACAGGGGTCTCGATTCACAAGACACAAATTAAAAAGACTATTTTCAACTTGACGCAGCATCTTAAAATACCCATCAATATCCATCTGCATGAGTCTTAAAAGGAAAGGGATTTAAAGGGACTAATATTAAGATTGCGATTGAAGATGTAATATTAAGGGATTTAAGATGTGATATTAGTCTCTAGTGTCCCCAGTATGTGTATGTGAAGAGTCTGCTCAAAATACCCCACAGATCATTTATTAGCCTATAATTTGTCAAATTTGCCCCAATTTGATTTTGAGCAAAAATAAGCAATTTGAGTGTGTGTCCCTTTAAATGCAAATAAGCAGCTGCCTTTCCAGAAGAGGGCGGAGCCTTTACAGCACATGCTTCAGATACTCCAGCAACAACAAAACTGGAGAGTCACAGAAATTGTCAGTAGCCTTACATGTTAGTACAAGAGTCAACAATAATGGAGAGACTCCAGTTACAACTTTTAGAACACAACAGGACGTTTCTGAATGATTAGTGGATAAATGCATGTAGTTGTTGTGAAGTTAAAGGGATAATTCACTTTGAAATTAATTTGTGATATGTTTTAGTTTACCTCAAGGGCATCCAAGATGTAGGTGTCTTTGTTTCCACAGTATTTTCAATTTTTAATATTTTTTGGTCAAACCGTTCTTGTCTGTCAGTCATATAATGGAGGTCTATGGTCACCACCTCAAAGAGCATGCACAGTCCAGACCTAAAAATATCAAAATTGAAACTACTGCGGAAACAAAGACACCTACATCTTGGATGCCCTTGAGGTAAGCTAAAACATATCAAAAATTAATTTCACAGTGAACTATCCCTTTAAGTTGATTCAACTCATTGACTAGTTTTAGCATCATGTTAATCTAAACATCTTTCAGAAACAGCTTTGTTGCAAATCCTGCCAGTCCTGAAGAAAAGGATTTGCGCAAGTATACAACACTAACGACTTTTTTTCGGCACATTTCCTTCATTAATGAAATTCAACCACGGTGTCCTTAGTGGCTCAGACGCTGGGAGTCTATGGATACTCTTATGTTCGTTGGTACATCCAATAACAGAACATTTGCAATGTTTTTTTTTTTAGCGCAGACATTGCATATCTCCAGCTGCTACAGTGATGAAACAGTAACGGTGACGGCTGCGGGTCACTAAGGGCGGGATCTATGCTAATAAGGCCAATCGTCACCAGTCATGGGCGGGGCTTACTACATAAGAGTAGGGGAAATCTGGAACCGCACGTTTGGAGACACTGTTTATGATTTATGGCGATTTTACAAAAGGAGTGGGTGGATTTTTACCATTATAGGCTAGAGGTTACACACATATGTGTTCAAACACCTTGTAAAAGAGAATGGGCTTTATTGGCCAAATTGATGAATTCAGGTGTGTCTGATTATTGTTGCCATGACAACTGAGGTCAGGCACACCTGGATTAATCAATTTGGCCAATAACTGCAGACAGGAAACAAGGAGCTGGCTGAAGTTCAGGAAGTAGTGCAGCTGGGCATAAAGCCCATTAAAGAGAAAAAGCATAATAGGTCCCCTTAAAAGTTGCAACAAGAGCAGAAAAAAACAGGTGCTCAAAAAAATACAAAAACATTTGACTACATGTAATATTTACAAAATATACTGAATAATACTAAAAGAAAACTACATACAAAAAGAAAGCAAGTCCACCTGACGGCGCACACGTGTCTTACCCTGCTCCAGTTGGTGCTGATCTCCCAGTGGGAGCAGACGCGCGGGTGGCAGGGCTGAGTGGCATTGGGGCGCGGGAGACTGGAGCAGCGCTGAGGCTGAACCATCGTTGAAAGGTTCCCAAAACTCAGCCTGCACTGTATGTGGCGCTGCTGCACACCCCGACCGCAGGAAACACTGCACTCCGACCACGCACCTGTATCCCAGCTACACACACACACAAACACAAGTTAAAGGAGTAGTTCACTTTTCAAAAAACTTTTGCTGATAATTTACTCACCCCCATGTCATCCAAGATGTCCATGTCTTTCTTTCTTCAGTCGAAAAGAAATTAAGGTTTTTGATGAAAACATTACAGGATTTTCTCCATATAATGCACTTCAGTGGGAACCAAACGGTTCAAGATCCAAATGAGAGTTTCAGTGCAAACTGCAAACTGTTCAAAGGGCTTTAAACGATTCCAGACGATGAATAAGGGTCTTATCAAGCGAAACGATCGCTCATTTAATAAATAAATAACAAAGTTTAAGTTTTATAAGCTCAAATGCTCGCCTTGCTCTGTTCTGTGATGCGCGTTCGTGACTCTCCTGTTCGAACTCATTCATCAAAATGAATGAATCTTTTTCCAAATCAATTCGTTCGTTTCGTTCGTTGAATGAACCAAATGACTCAGAAAAACCATTATTCATCGTCTGGAATTATTTAAAGCCCTTTTGGACTGAAAAACTGTTTACATCTTTTGGACCTTGAACCGTTTGGTTCCCATTGAAGTCCATTATATGGAGAAAGATCCTGGAATGTTTTCATCAAAAACCTTCATTTCTTTTCGACTGAAGAAAGAAAGACATGGGCATCTTGGATGACATGGGGGTGAGTAAATTATCAGCAAAAGTTTTTTTTCAAAAGTGAACTACTCCTTTAACTGAGATTTATGTACATTTATGTAAGTGCCAGCCACAGACTGTGCAATTCATATAAGATCAGTGCAAAATAACACTGTACAATATGGACCTAATACACTACAAGTTGGGTCTACTGTAGAGTGTACTATGATGACACCTGTTGAATCTTAGGCTACGACCAAGTTACTATAGAAGAATAAAACGTCATTAGCATGTGCTAGTGGTGAACAAATAGCAAGATGAATCGACCTTTGGAAATTGTGTTTTTTAAGTGCGCTGAAAAGTAAGCGAAAGAGGAGAATATGGACACGGTCATGGCTAGGGAAAGTCTCGTCAATCTTGCAAACGAGGCTCAGGGTAAGTAGTTTTACGTTTTAGCGCCATTTCACGTTGATCAATACGCCATTTCATGTTGTACTTTTATTGGCTAGTCAGTAGACGCATGTCATCAGACTTTCATTGATCTTGATTCATGTAGTCACATTAAATTACAGTCATTAAGAACGTTTATGTTGGTTCTGTTCTGTTTAAGGGGATTATCACTGCGCTCCCTGCTCTTATAGACCATTTTGCAAGATGTAAACAACACTAGTCCAGAAGCACTTCCTGTTTCAGTTTTTTAACACTCCATAAAAGGTGGGATAAAATACAACCAACAGAACATGTAAAATTGACTTAAAAAGTTAAACAACATCTTTAAGATGTTTTCTTTACATGTGAAATAAAGAAAACAGTTACAAACTGAAACAGGAAGTGTTTCTGGTGTTGTTTACATCTAGCAAAATGGTCTATAGGGAGTGGAATAGATTAATAGAAAGCTAAAAATAGAAGTATTTTGTGACATTATAAATGTCTTTACCCTCACTTTGATCAATCTAATGCGTACTTGCTCATTAAAAATTAAATTTCTTAAAACGTATTCGTATTGTATGTACTGTACATGCACAGTTACTCACAATGGTGGACAAGGATGAACATTACAGGGCTCCTCCTCTGCCACGGGTTTGGTTGCAGAGTTGCACCTCCTCTCATGGACTTCTTGTTCTGTGTGTCTATTCACACACACAATCTCTCTGTATTGAGAGCCTGAATATACACAAACACATACATACACATCAAAAAACAAACATGCACACATAACACAGCTTTTTGTTAGTGGTGAGTGGTGTAAAACGGCAACGAATCTTTTTTCGAGTCATTTGGTTCATTTCAACGAACGAAAAAAGAATCGTTCATTTTGATAAACGAGTTTGAACAGAAGAGTCACGAACACGCATCACAGAACAGAGCAAGGCGAGCATTAAAACATAAACATATATTATTTTATTTGTGAAATGACCGATGGTTTCGATTGATAAGACCCTTATTCAGCGTCTGGAATCGTTTAAAGCCATTTGAAGCTGCACTGAAACTCTGATTTGGACCTTGAACCGTTTGGTTCCCATTAAAGTGCATTATATGGAGAAAAATCTTGGAATGATTTCATCAAAAACCTTAATTTCTTTTCGACTGCAGAAAGAAAGACATGGACATCTTGGATGACATGGGGGTCAGTAAATTATCAACAAATGTTTTTTTTTAAAAAGTGAACTACTCCTTTAAAATCACTAAATCTGTGGAATAGTAATAGTGAATGATGTTTGCTTGAGCAAATGCCACAGCTCTTTACCAGAAGGAGGCAGCAGATAACAAACTAACACTGGGTATATCAGCTTAATATAAAACAGCAGCGAGTGAACTGAGAAACCCCCTCAAACACACTCACAGCCCTATAGAGAAAGAAACTCCCTAAGAGTTTGGCACATATACGTTCTGTTCCACAGCGCTTGGCTTTCTTCATATGTCAGTAGGCAATGGGTTCATGTTCTCCGAGTGTTTCCAGCTCGCCTATTGCAAATAAACACAACATTAATCCACCGCGTCCACTCACAAGATCACAGAGCCACTCAAAGCAAGTGTGTGTGGTGTCAACCGGTGCAAAGTCGTAAGGGGAGATTCATGGAAATGTCATGTGACTGATCACTCAATAACAGAACACCTTGTAGCAGATGGGGAAAACATAGGCGTATGTAAACACTACTCTTATAAAAGTCAGTAAAATAGTATTTTTTAAAATAAATTAATGTTGTTTTTTTTTACACGATGCATTAAATTGATTAAAAGTGACAGTACCTTTATAATGTTAAAATTTAAAATAAATGCTGTCTATTCATTAAAATTGAAAACGTACATTTAGCATTATAGACATTTTTTTTAAATTATTTTGACAGTAGCTTGAGTTGGGATACTGTAGATGTAAATGTTCAATAAAAAAAACAACCGTAACATTGAAAACGATTTTTTTGTGGTCACATGCTCAAGACGGTCATTCGCTCCAAGCTGTCGCTGTGCTGCTGTGTTTTGAGGAGAGCTGATAAATGTGTAGTGCATGGTTCAAACGAGCAGCTTTTGGCCAGTTTGCTCTTTAATGTTTCTCATTGGCACCAGAAATAGCAGCGCTTATCAGTCATTGGCACCAGTCTGCAACAGACATGTGCAGCATCATTTGCATAATGCATAAACATTATATTGAACACTTATCGAACTTCTGTTAAAATTTTATCAAGGAAAGTTAAATCGCAATAGTTATCGTACTATCGTCCAGCACTAATTCATATGCTGCAATGATTTCATTTAGTCTGAATAGTTACTTTTAAATGGTCGTTCATTGGATAAACGTGTATCTACCAGAAAATGCATACCGGCCAAACATTGACCCCTTGATTACAACTCGTATGCATAGCTATGGTGACCCCTGACCTTTGCCACAGGTAGCAGTGCATTCTGTCAGCGCGCCTCTTTGCCACATGAATGCCGGCTGATTGTCCAGTGGGAGGTCCGTTCTTGGAGGGATCCGAGCGTTGCGATTGGGTCCTGAGCTCTGTGGGCGGAGCCTCTCTGGTGGCCATCGATCAGATGCAGAGGAAGATGAGGAGGAAGGGAAGGAAAATGGAGGCGAGGAGGCGGAAGACACCACAGGAGGAGGAGCGACAGGGTTCTCGACTGGCACTGAGACGGAACCTGAAACACAAGAGATAAATATGATAAATATGCTGCCGACCAAGAGCTAAACACTAATAACAAATAAGATTGGCTGAAAAAAAATAGTAATGCAACAGTAAAACCCTTAAGTACACTTAAGCTTGCTTTTTAAAAGAGTATTAATTAAGAGAATAGGGACAACCCTTTTAGACCACCCACCGACCATTTTTCCCGTCGTTAAACTAGCAAAAGAGGATTTCGAACACGACCTAAGTGCATTTGTGTCATGCGCTTTAGACCATGCGCTTAGATAGTAAAAATAGGGCCAAAAGTGTGACTGACTGTAATGTTTTTGAACACTTAATTTGATTTTTTACTTCATTAATATTATCTGCAGGTAGAGTTTTTAACAATATATTTCTAGGATTTGATGTAAACTACTGCACATTCAATACAATTAAGCACACTTCTTTTGCACAAGCGAAAGTTGCAACTAAGTATTGTACAAATTTGAAAAGGTATTATCACCGTCCCACAGGTGGGACGTTTGCCATTATATTTTAAAACAATAATATCTTAATAAAAACCTAAATAATATTGACAAACTATAATTTGAAAGCTTACAATCTCTAGTTTCCATATTTGGTGACTGAAAATTACGGAGTCATTGTAATTTATCAATTTGCTACAAGAATATTTTCATACTCCTAAGGCGTGTTCAGACTTTTATTTTGAAATAGTGATGAACATGAAAAATCATGAAAAAATGGTAGAAACCTCAGTTTGTTTTCATGCCAAGAGTTCAAATTAGCATCCATTTAATTATTTTAGAAAAAAGGTCTGCAAATGTTTTAGATATAAAGAAAAAAATAATAAAATCACCTTGTGATGTGGCAGCGAGCTATAACGCACATGTGTGTTCTTTGTATGTGTTTCTCAGAGGTTGAATTCATATCAAAATCTGCCAAACTTCCCATACTACTTCTGAATAGGATGTTTACTTCATAAATTGTATGAAAATTGTGGAAATAATGGTTCATATCACTCAAAACACATATGGAAATGGAGGCGCTTTTAAATTGGGCAGTAATGGAGTCTGGTTTGGCCCTAGTGGAAGCGTTCGGTACTGCACCCCAAACAAAATCTTACTGAAAGCTCATTTTTTGAGATATCAACCTAAAATTTGAAACACTGCAGACACTGATTTTTCTGCAGTATGAATAATTCATTTTTTTTTACATTGTACATTTCCATAAACTCAAACTTCTAAAACTTTTTTTTCCTGTTTCACTTTCTTAATTTATTTAACTTCTACAAAAATCTGCCAAATGTCTTTAAAACAACACCAATCTTGCATCTATATTCCAAAGCATTCTTGAATTACAACAATTTAAAGAGCAACTAAACACTTAACCAACTTTTTTTAGTTAATGATCTGTAAGAATGGATCTTTATTAACACCAGTCATTGATTCGAGTAACTTTTTTGACATTTGTTTTTAAAGCGTTCTATTTCTACAATATATGGTGTAAAAGCGTCTTAGTGCTGCCATCTTCAGGTTGAACGGTGGCTACTGCAGTTGAATTTTCCTATTGGATGTTCCGCACTTCGTGACGTACGCAGGTTTCAGCTCACCACGCGAGCTACGCCCTTGGCAGCATACAAAACCATCTTGTGTCGTCAAAACCACTGTAGGGAGTCAGGAATTGGGATTGTGAGTATTGAAAACGATCAGGATAGAGTGTTTTAGCATCTATTTCGTCCCCTCTATCTCCGCTGGGGTCAGCCCACTTTTTCAGCATTTTCAAATAATGCCAGTGGGTGGAGTCAGGCTCTGACCAGGGGTTTTGTTACCCTTTAAGTTCGACATGTGCTTTTCCAAAAAAAAGTGACACTTAACAGGTTAAGTACAGTATTTGCTTTACACCGGTTCGTTTGCTTTGCAACAGTAGCTGTTCCATCAAACTCTTATTAAAAGTCATGCTGCACGTTGCTGCATGTGTGATACTCCTTTAGAGTATTCTGTTGTTATCTTAGCAGCATGCAACGCCATTTGTGGGTAGAGTTAAACCAGTCAGGAAGCTGTCTCAGAAGGTAACTGCCTGTATACTGAGTAGACAGCAAGGCAGCTCACTAAGATTTAATTCCCTGCTGAAAAGACCAGCTTAAACCAGCTAATACAGGCTGGTTTAAGCTGATTTAGATGGTCTAGTCTGTTCCCAAGTTGCCAAAATAGTTTTTAGCAGAGTTGGCACAGATCTAAAGCCTGATTCATGCTTTTTGGTTCATGTCACACACTCTCACAGTGACCCCATTCTCATAAAAACTCTGCTCAACATCATCTGACGTTCCACACACACACACACACACACACAATCATAGGCCCATTCTCCTATAATGACCTTAAAAGGTTTCACCGGTGGCCAATAAGTGATGAGCGAAATAAGAGAAGACTGCTCAAGTGAAATATACAGTATCTGCGTGGCACAGACATATAAACACTATAAATTTAGAGTGACACAGAAGATCATCAGGAGAGAAAAATAGAAACTGAGATGTCGAGAGAGAGAGATAAAGAGAGAAAGACTCTGTGTGACGAGACGACTGTAGGAAAACTCACTGATTTCTCGGAGAGCTGCCCGCCCTCGCTCCCTCTCTCTGTGTACTTCTCTCTCTCCATCCCTCTGTTTCTCCACTGGGATGTAATATTCATAGTCTATGCCTGGATTCTGCCTGTGGAAAATAATCTACAGCGAGAGAGAGAAAGTAAAAACAGGTTAATAAACTCCAGCATATGGTAACGTCTCACTCCATGACCGCATTCCAGTTAGTATCGGCCGTATATCACTGATATATACGCACTCGAACACACTCCTACACACTCACAACTATGTGGACGCTCTTTCTCTGAACATCTAAATGAACTTAAAGCTAAAGCATATGAATATGAACTATTATTCACAATATTCTTCCAAGGCCAAATGATCAGAGCTGTGCTATTCATGTTTGTCAATGATAGACTCTTACTGACAGCTAAACTAAACCAACACTGATACTTAAACTAGTACCACTACTTAAAATAAGGATAATTAAAGTAGTGTGCTACCCCAGACAGTAACATACAGTCGGCCCAGATCCGGGCCACATCTGGTACATGATTCGACGCATACCAGATGTGGACCGGATCTGGGCCGACGCTATGTTACTGTCTGGAACCAAAACTACTGAAACCTAAACTAGACCAATACTGACACATATACTAGTATAATTAAACTATTTATACCTAAACTAGACAAATACTGACACATATACTAGTATAATTAAACTATTTATACCTAAACTAGACCAATACTGACACATATACTAGTATAATTAAACTATTTATACCTGAACTAGAGCAATACTGACACATATACTAGTATAATTAAACTATTTATACCTGAACTAGAGCAATACTGACACATATACTAGTATAATTAAACTATTTATACCTAAACTAGACCAATATACTGAGACATATACTAGTATAATTAAACTATTTATACCTAAACTAGACCAATATACTGACACATATACTAGTATAATTAAACTATTTATACCTAAACTAGACCAATACTGACACATATACTAGTATAATTAAACTATTTATACCTGAACTAGAGCAATACTGACACATATACTAGTATAATTAAACTATTTATACCTAAACTAGACCAATATACTGACACATATACTAGTATAATTAAACTATTTATACCTAAACTAGACCAATAATGACACATATACTAGTATAATTAAACTATTTATACCTGAACTAGAGCAATACTGACACATATACTAGTATAATTAAACTATTTATACCTAAACTAGACCAATATACTGACACATATACTAGTATAATTAAACTATTTATACCTAAACTAGACCAATAATGACACATATACTAGTATAATTAAACTATTTATACCTAAACTAGACCAATAATGACACATATACTAGAATCACAACTTAAATACTGATTACTAAAACACTAATACCCTAATGAAAAATAAACTATACCAAAATGTATTTAAAATAAATTAATTTTTATTAGGGCTGGGAAATGATTAATTGCGATTAATCGCATCCAAAATAAAAGTTTGTGTTTACATAATATATGTGTGTGTGTAATTATTTTGTACTGTATATAAAAAATTCACACATGTGCATGTATAAATTTAAGAAAAATGTGTTATCAACATATTAAATATTAATATTTATATATATACAGTATATACATGCAAATATTTCTTAAATCTATACATGACTGTGTGTGCATTTATATATACAAAATAATTATACACACCACACAGAAATATGCTATGTAAACACAAACTACTATTTTGGATGCGATTAATCGCGATTAATCGTTGCCCAGTCCTAATTTTAATTAAGTATACTACAAATCCATTAACATATTTACTGACATACCACTTGAGACTTACTGATATAAATATTATAATCAATTTTTTATTTTTTTTGGAGTACTTATTTATTGCACAAATGCACACATCTTATAAAAAGTGTTTTAATATCACTACTAGTAATGATAGTATGATCTCTGTATAATATAATTCTTTAAATGCAAGAATTAAAATCTTATCTAAACTATACTTGCAACAGTTCCACTTTAACACAATCAAATATACTTAAGTATATCTTTAGTTGGCCCTCAGCACTATTTCTGGACAACTAAAGTGTACTACTGACACCTAAACTAGACCAATACGGGTAATTAAAACTAGTGTCAGTACTTAAATACTGATATTGTGTGTATTTTTATCATTTTAAAATACTTTCTTGTATGCCAGTCTATTATCGTTAAGTAAGACATTACGATTCTCCTGTGACTCTGTGATGAAGAAAAGAAAAAATCTCATACAGATTTGACTGAAAAAAGGCTTGTTTTTAATAGCAAATTTATTTTTTAGTGGCTACTTGGAATTAAACAACCCTAGAGCAAGAAAAATCCTGTTGCCTGAGCCCTTTGAGGAGAACAATAGAGCTCCTAACATGAGTTCAGAAGTGTTATGCTCATTTAATCTCATCATTAATAAACACAATAGAGCGACCGCTCATTCCTTCCATCCACTCCTGCAGCAAATCCTCCCAGATTGGAGTTTGTGCTCCCTCACACTCCAGCCAGACCCGTCTACCTCTTTCCACATTACTGTAATATACTACATGAACACATGTGTGTGCACTTACGTATAGCTGCAGCTGGGCAGTTGTGGGTCCAGGCGCTGTGAGGGTCTCTCCTCTCTCCTCTCCCTGCTCGTGTGGGCCAGCTTTGGGTCGGCTGTAGAGGAAGGTGGTTCCTCCTGCCTGATACTCTCCCGGCGGGTCGACCGCCCAGCGTCCGTTCACCACAGACTGACCTGTTCCACTGCGCAGGGCTGAACACACAAACACAGCAGCTGTGGTCACACATTTACACATGCAGTAATGATATATGAGGTATTCACAACATTCACACACACACAAAAAATATTCTAGCTGTTTGCTCAGTTTGTTTAAATAAAATAAGCTGAAACAACTCAAATCTTTAGTTTTTTACTAAATTGTCATTTGCTAAATTTTATTACGTTAAATGAAATGAAATTTGTAAAATGATTTGGGTTGGGACTACATGAATCATTTGTGTTGGATTGACCGAAACTGGACAGTGGATTTCTAGTTCCCAGCATGCTTTGCATAGGGATAGATCAGGAGAGTAAAGGCCAATTTATACTTCTGCGTCGAAGGTACGCTGTAGTGTACGACGTTGGCTACGCACATAGGCGACGCAGTTGTGAGCATTTATACTTCTGCGTTCAGGTCTTGGGTGCTCTGCAGTACTGCTCCGAAACGCTAGTTGGCGGCGGAGGGTTTTAATGCTCCACTGTGTTTAGATTCCTCGCGGATCATGTTGGAGTTGGAGCTTATTGATGTGGAAAAACACAGTTAATTTTAGTGAAATAACTAAAGCTGAAAGGCAGAAATAAGAGATGACGTCGGAGGAGATGGTACGTGTGGAAATGCGTGAGAAGGTACGTGCGGAAATGCGTAGGAGGAAATACGATGCTACCAAGCCGACCAATCACCGATCTTGCGGTCCGCGTCGTCGCGACGTGTAGTTACATTTTTGAGGAGGTGCGTGTCAGGCTACGGCGAAGGGTACGCGATATGGGACGCGTCTGTGCGTATGCTACGCCGTATCTACCGCGCGCACCCTACGCAGAAGTATAAATTGGCCTTAAAGCGCACTTTTCCCTCCACTGCACGTCAATAAACTAGGAAATGAACTTGCGCTCCCTGGGAGGGCGCAATAAGGAGGCGTGTTTCGGCGCAAACATTCCCTGGTGCTATTTTACAGTTCCAGAAAACAATTGTGCCACTGGCGTGTTGCGCGTTGTTCATAATGCTATTTTAAGCGTGCATTCTTGGCCATAATGTAATGGGTGCACAACGCGCATACACTTTGATTCTCTCAAATCAACACAGATGCAGCAGTTTTTATTTTTGCAAATCATACATTATAACAAGGGAACATATTAGCACATGAGGAAAATCATTGTGGTGTAACTAAACATGTAAAAAAAAAAATGTAGGCCTAAGTCTATCACTCAAAAAAATGATTTTTGCTGCTTGTCAAAATGAGCTTAAGCAACACAATTGCTATACATTTTGTCCAAACTTAATTTGATTGTGTTCAATCTACTTAAATATGTAAAATGTAAGTTTACTTAATCCGTTTGCGTTACATTGATTACATGAATGATTTGTGTTGCATAAACTAAAACTCTATGTCTAAATTAAATTAATGTCTAAATTAAATGTTATTTTTTGTGTTTTTGAGAAAATGAGAAAAGGGGAAGACTTTATAGTGCGTAATTGTGTTTAATGTTCAATTAAATTGCAATTATTAGTTCCATTTAATTTACATTGCGGAGAAGAGTGGAGCATTTGGTTAGTCTGAAAACCGATTCAGCAATACTTTCAGCGGTGTGAAGCATGGGAATCTTATAATTTAAGATGCTACCAAGTGCTATTTGTAGCTAATACTTGGTTATAGTCTAGAAATCTATTAGTGTGACTCGGGTTGGGTATCGTTTGAATTTGAACGATTCTGATTCCGATTGCGATTCCTTGTTTCGATTCCTAACGATTCTCGATTCCGATTCTTTTAAGAGGCAGGGTCAAAAAAGTTTAGCTAACCTTGCTAACCAACGCTCTTTCTGAAGGAAATACTCCTTCTGTAAAAATACTCCTTTTGTCACAAATTTTGCATTTTGCCGAGATTTCGTTATTTTTAGAAAAGTGAAGCCACACTTTGGATCGCCAACGTAAGCTACTCATGTTCGACTCGCGTGGTTATGCCAACACTTCCGGTAGACGCTTCTTCGTTGGTGTTGTTCAGCGGTTTCTTCTTCCGCTCGGCGGACTGTGAATATCGAAACTAGGAATCGAAATTTTTACTTTTGAACGATTCCGGGAAAAACGAAAAGTTAGTCTCGGTTCCAATCGATACTCGATTCTCGATACCCAACCCTAAGTGTGACACTAAAATAAATTGTATTGTATTAGATGAATGAATATTATGAATTTGAATACCTGAATCATATCAGGGAGCCTGTTTAAATTCACTGACAATATTAAATTAAGCTGTTCCCAACCATAGTAAATAAGTTGAATCAACCTAATACATTAAGTTGACCAAACGTAAGTACATTAAATTGGAATAACAGAATTGCATAATGCTGTGGAAAACATTTCCATAATTTTTTTATGTTCGTTCAAAGAGTTATTTTTTTTTTGAGTGTAGCTTACACATTTACCCAAATTTTTCAGGCTAATTGTAGTAATGACGAATCAGACCTGTTTGCCCAATAGTGGCCTATGAATTATGAAGCTACTTCAGACCAACCCCTTTTAAACTTGCGTCGGGCGTTGATACTTGCGTTTCAGATTGTTAAAATAGGGACCTTAAACTCTAACAAGTCTTCATTTTCTTAAAAGCAGAAAACTCATGCAACTCTGCACAAAGGATTATGTTCAGGAAACATTAACAGAACACGTCAAATGAAATTGGTGTGATCTCATTCACTTAGGATGAATTTTAATCATCTGTGCAATTAACCTAGTTTAAGTACATTTAATCTAGTAAATTAGTTCAACTGTGTAGAAATAGGTGTCATTTCTGTCAGGACCACAATCGTCAAATACGATTGACAATTAGCATACAGTTTGGATGAGGCCTAGCATGGATAAGAGCAGGGAGAGCAGCAACAAACCTGCCTTAGGGTAAACAGAACAGAACCAACATGAATGTATTGCAGATATCAATAATTCAAGATTTTAAATTACAACATAATTCGAGAATTTATTCTGATTCAAGGGGAATCAGAATGCCAAATGCTGACTGGGCGAGAGGAGGAGCAGGGTAATTCTGATAATACTGAAGGAGCTTATATATGTATACTGTGATACGCAATGTATCCCTATAGATAGACGTAGATCAGCTGAGAGTCTAACGTTTACCTGCCAGAACTGACGCTACGCTTGATAATTCTATTAAGTTAGAAAAACAAGTTATTTTTTTGAGTGCAGATTTATTTTCTTTATTTTCTTTCTTGGAAGTTTTTTTTTTTTTTTTTTTTTTTAAAGATTCATCCGACAGTCATTATTTGTTTGTGGAGTGTTTGGAAGTCTGTTTTTAGCTGTATGTAATTACAGATCTCAGTCCTGCTTGTGATGAACGTTTTATGAGTTTCCTACCATAATCACACATCACATGCAACTAAGAATTCTCCTCCATGAGAAGTTCATGGCAAAAGTGTCAAAGACAGAGCAATGAAAAGGAGAGGATGTAGCACAGATATCAGAAAACTAAAATTACTAAGCAAATGTGTATGGCACCACCCATGAGACATATCTAATAATGAGTTATCTTTCATATCTTAAAGGGATTCTCCACATTTTTTTTTTCATTTTAAACTGCGTTATTCCCTTAACTAAGATGAGTTGATACATACATCTCTCGTCTCAGTGCGTACACTACATTGCTCTGTCTTGCGGTGAAACTTTGTTAGCGCTTAGCTTAGCTTTGCCCAGTAGGATCCAAGCAGAGAAGCGACCAAACACCTCCACGTTTTTCCTATTTAAAAACTTGACCGAGAACGGTGACACAAAATGAAACGTGGCACTTTTCCACGCGTGTAAAATGGATAACTATAATGTATCGCTTCTCTGTTTGGATCCTAATGAATGAGCTGGGCTAAGCTAAGCTAAGCGCTAACAAAGTTTCGCCGCAAGACAGAGCGATTTAGTTTGCACATTGAGACGAGAGAGGTATGTTTCAACTCGTTTTAGTTAAAGGGTTAGTTCACCCAAAAATGAAAATTAAGTCATTAATTACTCACCCCCATGCTGTACCAACCCCGTAAGACGTTCGTTCGTCTTCGGAACACAAATGAAGATATTTTTGATTAAATTTGAGAGCTCAAGAAAGTCAATGAAGAAAATGTTTAAATATCCCAAGTGACTACCGTGGCTCAACTATATGTTTATCAAGCGACGAGAATACTTTTTGTGCGAAAAAACAAACAAAAATAACGAGTTTATTCGACTATTCCTTTTCTTCCTTGTAGGCCAGAAACGAGACTTCCTTAGATTTCCACGACGCATGAGCGAGAACTGAACTGAAGTAGTCTAAGGAGATCGCAATTCTCGCGCATGCGTCGTGGAAATCTAAGGAAGTCTCGTTTCTGGCCTACAAGGAAGAAAAGGAATAGTCGAATAAACTCGTTATTTTTGTTTGTTTTTTCGGTCACGGTAGTCACTTGGGATATTTAAACATTTTCTTCATTGACTTTCTGGGCCGTCAAGAGGCAGTCCCTTAGGAGCCAATGTGGTAGTTATACAGCTCTCAAATTTAATCAAAAATATCTTTATTTGTGTTCCGAAGACGAACGAAGGTCTTACGGGGTTGGTACAGCATGGGGGTGAGTAATTAATGACTTAATTTTCATTTTTGGGTGAACTAACCCTTTAAGGGAATAACATAGTTTAATATGTAAAAAGGGTGGAGTATCCCTTTAAGTGTTTCTCCTCACATTGCTTTAAGAGTAAAAGAGTAAAAGTCTCAAAATGTGCACAATATTGCCAAGACATACAAAACTCCTCATAATTCATCAAAATCTTTCAAGACCAATGCCATTATACGCTGTGACTGTATGTCAACAATTGACTCCTATTGACACTTTAAAAATACCGATACTTAAACTAGAATGACTACCCAAACCACTTCTTAAAATATTATCCAGACAAACACTAATAAAGTAGTAAGACAAAAAAACTAAAAATACTGACACCTGACTAGGCAAATACTGATACGTAATGTAGTATGACTACTAAAACCACTCTAAACTTGACCAATAATGATCCTTAAACTAACATCACTAGTTAAAATACTGATTTGAAGCATTATGACTACCACAACTATTGACACCTAAACTAGACCAATATTGATACTAGGATCATTAAACTAGAGATATATAAACTAGACAAATATTGATATAAACTAGTATGGTTAGTTAAAACTAATGACACCTAAACTAGACCAATACTGACCCAGACAGCAAACTGACATTGAATCAACGTGGAAACGACGTCTCTCATGACATTGAAACAACGTTGATTTTGCTCATCGAATTAACGTTGAACCAACGTCAGACGCGGCATTCTTCAAAGCTAAATGAAAATCGAAAATTGGTTTGCTTTCATAACATTGAAACAACGCGTTGATTTCAAGTTGATTTTCCGTTAGTTTTGAAAGAATGACGCGTCTGACGTTGGTTCAACGTTAATTCGATGAGGAAAACAATGTCAGATCAACGTTGTTTCGATGTCATATTTCCACGTTGATTCAATGTCAGTTTGCTATCTGGGGATACTTAATACAATACTTAATACACTATTATCTTTACTTGTACTGAAAATTAAACCAGTCTGCAGCCTCTAAAACAGTCCAAAACGGATGCTTAAACTAGTTTCATTAAACCACTGACACGCAGTCAAATAGTGAAACTTAAAGTAGTCTCACTGGTTAAAATACTGATAATTAAACCAGACAAACACTCAAAATTTGTCTAAAGTAGTCTGACAACACCTAAACAAGTCTCTGCAATGATGCTGGAGGTGGTTTCCGGGGCATTGCTGAACACATGTCTGGATCACAAACACTACAGGACGACCCACACACTGAACTTTAATACACAGCGTTAGAGGAAATATAAACAATAATAACAGTGATAGTTAACACCTCCTGAGCTCTGAAAGAGCAAAATGGTGCAGACGGAATCACACAGAGAAAAAAAAGCAAAAGCCAAAAAAAAGGATGTCAGCGAGAGAGAAAAAATATGATTTCTCACATAACCCTGTAAGTGTTTTGTCTACTACAGAAGTCTGCCTTCAAGGCACAATCACAGAAGCCAAACAAACACAGACATGTCCATGACTGTGACTCAGGGTCATATTCTTTTAAGAAAACATGCCTGTATTACCTAACACATCCCAGAGAGATCCCCCACATCTAAGAAGAAAAACATAATCTGTGAATCCAGGCATTCCTGAGTCGTGTCCAGGCTGATATTAAGATGAACAGCACATCAGCATCCCTCTCAGGACAATGACTCATTTCTGCCCCAAAACACACCACGTGCTGAAACAATGGGACATTATCATCTACAGACAATGAATTTAGGCTTACACGCTCTAGTCTAGGCGCTCTATTTTAACGACCTGAAACGCAAGTATCAAACACGAAACGTAAGTAACTTTGTGGGCGGAGCTCATCTAAAATGGGTTGGCCTGAAGTAGCTACATTACTCATAAAGGCCAATTTATACTTCTGCGTAGGGTGCGCGCGGTAGGTACGCCGTAGCATACGCACAGACGCGTCCCATATCGCGCACCCTTCGCCGTAGCCTGACGCGCACCACTTCAAAAATGTAACTACACGTCGCGACGACGCGGACCGCAAGATCGGTGATTGGTCGGCTTGGTAGCATCGCATTTCCTCCTACGCATTTCTGCACGTACCATCTCACGAATTTCCACACGTACCATCTCCTCCGACGTCATCTCTTATTTCTGCCTTTCAGTTTTAGTAATTTCACTAAAATTAATTGTTTTTCCACCTCAATAAGCTCCAACTCCAACATGATCCGCTCTCTTTCAGTCGCTATTGCTTGTAGTAACCATAGTAACCTAGCCGCGGGGAATCTAAACACAGTGGAACATTAAAACCCTCCGCCGCCAACTAGCGTTTCGGAGCAGTACTGCAGAGCAACCAAGACCTGAACGCAGAAGTATAAATGCTCACAACGGCGTCGCCTACGTGCGTAGCCAACGTCGTACACTACGGCGTACCCTCGACGCAGAAGTATAAATTGGCCTTAAGTGTGGTTTAGGTGTAACGTGCAATAAACCAATCCGAGCGTCACCTCTCATTCCCTTTAAAGCAACACTAAGTAAGATTCTTTAGCTTAAAATAATGTTTCCAAAATCGTTTCAGTGGTTCATCAAGTCGTAACAGGGTGAAAGGCACTTAAGGCCATTGCACACTGAGTCCGAAATTTTCGTATGCGTTTTTTCGTGTTCGTCAGCCTAAAAATTTGTCACGCACAGAAAGCTTGCACACTGAGTCCGAAGCGTATTTATTAAACCTTTGCGGGAAAAAACGCAAAAATACAAAATGGATTCGTCAAGCAGTGAGGATGATTTTGTTGTCCTCTCTCTTATTGAAAAGAGAAGAAAGAGAAAATAGGCTATTGCGTCCACCCAATCCTGAAATTGCACCGAGAGGAGTTGCGAATCAAGGAGTTGCGAATTTATCCCGAGCGATTCAAAATTTACCTCAGAATGTCAGTGGGACAGTTTGATGCTTTGCTTGCGATTCTGGAGCCACATTTTAAAAACAAGACCACCAATTTCCGTGAACCAATCGATTCTGAACAGAGACTGTCAGTATGTCTAAGGTATGAACACACACACACACACGCACGCACACGTAAATCATTTCTAATGTTCATGTAGTTCCTGCATTTGTCTTTGTAGGGCGAAATTTCTCAAAAATGTTGAAATAAGATATAAGTTATTTCTTTTATGAAGCTGTTTTCCACTATGTAGGTTCACACAATGAATAAATATATTCTCAGGTATTATTATTGTAGGGTCATTTGGTCACCATAATGAAAGATAAACAGAACATAAATAACCACACACACGCACACACGCTTGTATCTCTATTATGTTAGGGTCTTTCCATTTGTAAAGAGCTAATGATAATTTCTGACTCATAAACCTGAATCCTCACAATGCTTTATGTAGTTTTACATTTTCAATCAAAGGGGACCTATTATGCCCCTTTACAAAGACTTGATTTCGTTTTTGGGCTCTAATAGCATAGGTTTTTAAAGGTCCTTATCATAACCACGAGTTTCACACACTACTAACTCAACTCAACCAGGCCCTGCCCCATTTTTTTTTGTATGCCTTAAATGAGGAATATTGTGATGTGTTTGTTGACGTAAGAAAACTCAAGACTACAGTGAGTTCAGAAACAGTGACAATGATATAGAGAAAATGAGTAAATGGAGTGCTTAATGCTCAAACAGAAACATTACACACTAAAGAAAGTTGAAAATATAAAAAAGCATAAAAGTAACCCTTTAAAACATTATATAAGCAATTTCCGTCATGGGGATTTTTCAGGGTCTGCTTCCCAGAGTTTAGCTGATCTTAGAGCAGATATTTGGTCCAAACTTGTGCCACACACACAGAGATAGTTCGTACCCAGATAGTTTGGACTGGCTCGTCTCTCCGTGATGTTGATAGCTGTGGCTCCAGGAGGGATATCCAGGATTTTGTGGTAACCCAGAGGAAAGCTTGTGTTCAGGAAACTTCCTGTGATCCTCTCGCAGGTGCCGTCTCCACCGCCACACACACCACAGCGATCCCGAACCAACCCTGAGCCCAACACACCGTCACAGCCGTCACTCTGACAGAGGAAAGAGGCTTTTCATTATTAATAAAGTAAGATATGAATGCATGAGGATGACAAGATCAGACTCTATCCTCGTGAAAAAGAATTGTACTGAATGTGTACTAAAGATAGAGTTGCTAAAAAATATAGTTTTTAAAAAACTGTAATTACAGATAGTTTCATTATTTTAATGAAATAAAAGATAAGTTAAGTGTATTTGATGAGAGTACTATGACTATGTTTCTTAACACACTTAAGCACACTTTCCAAAAGTGCTCTCAGTAATAATTTCAAATTAGAAAGTTTACTTTGAAGTACAATTTAAATCATTTTAAACAAAAATTCTTTAATGTGCAGACTAACATAAGGCAACATACTTGATTATAGTTTTAACTGTCATATTTAAAGTAAATATATTGTGAATGTACTAACTTGTAACTTCACCATTATAAATGTGTAATTACAAATATGTTTAAATACAAGTTTCAATAGAAATGACAAACTGTATTTTAGTTTAGCATAGATGCTTTTCAATGTATTTGGCAGTACACGTTAACCATATTTCAAAATAATTCTGATATAACATTTAAAGATTTGCTTAAGTGGGTCAAAAAGCACTCTTAAGTTTATTTAGATAAGCCATAATACATTTTCATTTAATTTTAAATTATATCCATAAGTTTCCGAAAATATTACATTCAACATACTTTCTTTGAAAGTATACTATTTATTTTTAAATTATGCTAAAGTGTAATTCTTTTTCACATGGTTAGATCTACATATCACAAAATTCCAGTGGTGGAATGTAACGAAGTACAAATACTTTACTTTACTTAAGTACATTTTTCACGTATCTTTACTTTACTTAAGTAGAATAAATAGTGCATACTTTTTACTTTTACTTCGTTACATTTTGCAGCAATTATTATACTTTCTACTCCACTACATTTCTACAACTTCTGTTACATTTTCATTATCAGTTTTTCCCCTGCCAAAACGTAATCTGACCGTCCGTTCGTTGCACGTTTGTCTCACCAGTAACGTTTGGTTGCCATAGATACAGTATATCAACCCGTTCAAACTAAATGCGTGTCGCACGCAGTGCGTTTATCATGCAATTTATACGCGAAAATTTGTTTTTACGTGCATATAGGAAACACACCGTGTGTAATATACGTTTGGTTAGGAATATGGCAAGCCAAGAGGTTCAGAATTACACCATAAATTAATCGCGTTTACTGCCAAATATAGTTATTAACATATAGTAAGGATACGCATGATGTGTATATTGCCTAATTGCAAGCTTGTTTTAGAAATGGTGAAAATCATTATTGAACATCATTATAGGAGTATTAGGTTGAATGAGTTAGAATTAAATGTTTTATTAATCATTAGAAAATAGACATTAAGAGAATAAATTGTTATGCAAGTACTTTTACTTTTAATACTTAAAGTACATTTTAAATCAGGTACTTTTTACTTAAGTATGGTTGTCATTGTGTTACTTCTACTTTTACTAAAGTAAATATTTATCTGGTTATTTGTACTTTTACTTAAGCACTGAGATTCAGTACTTCCTCCACCACTGGAAAATTCCAAGAATTTTTTTTTTTTGGCAGATTCAGACTTCGAATTGAATCTCTGAAGGCGTCCATGAACAGATGATGATGTTACTATCATTTTTGTGCTTTCTATCACTTTTGTGTTTTCTCACCAGACAGCGTCCTCCCACACACACATCATTGGGTGTGTTATTTGCGCATGGCGTTCCATCTCGTACCCTCTCCGCCTGCCGCACGTAGAAACGGTACCCAACCGGCCGGCAGGTCAACTCGCACTGCTGCTCTAGACCCACTGCCAGAGGAAAAACAGACAAAAACGTTACTTCACATTAGATGTATTACATTATAACAGTTTTCCTTATACTGTACACTCTAAAAAAAAATGGTGCTATATAGCACTAAAAGTGGTTCATTGGCTTGTAATCATAGGGGAACCACTTTAAGTGCCATATAGCACTTATCTTTGTCAAATAGTGCTATGTAGAACCATAGGTGCAATAGAGCACCTTAACCACCCCAGAGAACCACTGAAGAACCAAACTGGGCTTAACAGGTTCTTTAAATGATAGTGGTGCTATATAGCATCATGACCACCTGAAGAACCGCTGAAGAACCTTTTTTTCAGAGTGTACTTCACATAACTATTGACATTAATAACTCACAGCTCCCAAGCCCAACCAAACAATTTATTGAACACAAGCTGCAAAAATATTGTATATTGCAATCACAACCATGAGCTTATTAACATATGGTTGCTTAGGTAAGGTAATTTATTTATAAAGCACAATTAAAAAAATGGGTAGTTGACCAATGTGCTGTACAATTTGTAGAAACATGCAACAAGCGAAATGCACAGAACATTTATGCAGTGTAATACACATATCTCACAACATATCTGCAGTTAGAGTTAGACAGAAAAGCCAGAGAAAAAGTTTTTAAAAGAGATTAAAAAGAAACCAATGAGGAGGCAGTTCTAATATGCAAAGGAAAACTTTTCCAGAGTTTCGAAGCCAACTCTGAAAAAGAACGATCACCCCAAAATTTACATCAAGAGTTTCTGGTCAGAGGAACTAAGTGATCTTGATGGTGAGTATATCTGCAACAAAACTGAGAGATTTGGTTCCATACCATTTAGAGATTCAAAAACAAACAACAAAATCTTAAAATCAATCCTGTAACGGATTGGCAACCAATGCAATGAAAGCAAAATCTGAGTGATATGGTTCCGCTTTCGAGAACCTGTCAGCAATCTAGCTGCGGCATTTTGAACAATTTGCAACCGTGTCAAGGTCGACTGATTAATCCCTCCATACAGGGCATTACAGTAACAGTAGTCTAAACGTGAGGTCACAAATGCATGCGTCACTCTCTCTAAATCCTCAAATGACAAAAATAGCTTGACTTTTGTCAAGGTTCTAAATTGAAAGAAACCTGATCGAACAACAGCGTTAACTTGTTTGTCAAATTTTTGTGAGTTATCTAAAATTATTATTAAATATGACGTTTTTCACCACGGATTTACCATTAATAGATAAAGGGCCTAAATCAACACAGGGGAACTCAGATACATTAGACGGTGCAAACACAATAATCTTGGTTTCGCATTCATTTAGATGCAGAAAATTAGCTGCCAGCCAGGTTTTCAAATCAATCAGACATGCAAAAAGAGGCTCTATTTAATTATCATTCTTTTTTACTGGCATATCTGTGTACCATCTGCATATCAATGGGATGATACCCTGTGTTTTTGAAAGATAGCGCCAATTGGATGCATGTATAATGAAAACAGAATGGGTCCCAAAATGGACCCTTGAGGTATCCCACATTTAGGAGGGGCAGACGAGCATGTAAATTTCCCCACGGTGACTGAAAATCTTCTGTTTGTTAAGTATGACTTAAACCAATTTAAAACCACACCTCACATCCCTACCTACCTCTCCAGCCATGCAATTAGAGTGCCATGGTCTATGGTATCAAATGCCCTACATATGTTTTTCACATTTAACATTTCAGTATTTGACAACTTTGCTGGGGTTACTTTATTTGCAAATAAGTTAGCTAATTGTAACAAACCTCATTTTTAAATAAGAAGAAAAAATTCTAATATAATAGAAAAAAATTCCTAATATCAGAGATAAAGTAGAAAACGGTCATTTGGTGAGTTTATGGGTCACATGAGTGAAGGCAGCAGGGAACTACACTACGACCAAAATGGTCGCATATGCGACCTTTTGAAATCCCATTGCGACCCTAATTTTTAATGGGTCGCAAATGTATCACTGACTATTTTGGAGGGTCTGTTTTTTTTAGTTTCTTTCGGGTTGTATTTAATCTTCTAAAACCTGTCGGATCGTCCGCTTTTTGTCCCGCCAAAGCCTTTTTTGATCGCGGTGAGTGTTGTAGAGTAGAATGACTGATGCGTTTGACAGGGCGCAAACGAGCTGAGAGAGAGAGTGCGCCCTGGCCGCGCGCGCACTATCACGTCTTCACACAACACAAGCGCTGTCTTGCTCTCTTTCTCTTCGCGCGCATATTATTCAAATGACATGATAGTAAAAGGTTTGTGTCTTTATAATAGGCATGCTAATCATAATCATATAGGCTACCATCTGAGACTGCATGGCGGCAGGAAAAAGACGCAGAGATGTAAGACACCGTGTCTCTTCCTTACACCAAAGGTAGATTTGCGGTCTGGTGTTCGGCTGACAAACTCTGCCATGAGTTAACTAATTATGTTGCTAGTGCTGATATTGACATCGACTAACGTTATATGATCACTAGCAGTTTTTTAGACTAACGTTAGTTTTTTCATAATCATAATCGCGTGATTCGCGTCAAGACACCTGATTGGCTAATACTACACTGAAGATAAATTAAATGTTTTATTAAATAATTACTGAAAATATCCCTCTCTTCATCCCACACCCCAAACATGACATACAAAATGTTGTGGAACAGAAACAACCAGAGATATATTTATAAGCTATCATTTTATTGTCATCACAGCTTTCCAACAGTCCTGCGTATGATTCTACATTGATTAAAAAAGAAAATCAAATGTGTTTTAATTATTTTATACGGAAATCATGTATTTATAATTCACATGAGAATAAAGTTAGGGTTAGTTAAAATTAAGGAAAACAAATATATTGATCTGAAATATTGCAAATTAATTTTACATTCATTCAAGTACAATTACCAAACATATATCAAGGTCATTTTGTCTTTTTATTTAATTTAATTAATAAACTAATTATATAAAACTATTGTCAGTGCACTACAAATAAACTGGTTCTATGCCTTTATTAATAAAACTTAAACAACTTAAAAAATACGAGGCTTAAGACATTTATAAAAATGCCTTCTGCATTTTTGTTTTGCTTTTCACTCCATTGTACCGAATCGTACCGAACCATCTGAATGTCTGAACCAAGGTATGAACCCGACCCAACCGTGACTTCTGTACCGTTCCACCCCTAATGCAGTTTCATTATTATTCATTATTATCCAGAGTGAGGCTTACTATAAATAATTTGTGCGACCAAATCATGTTTTGCGCCAGTAACTGAAAAAGTTAGTAGCGCAAGTGCCACCAGTGGAAAAGGTTAGTGTAGTTCCCAAACTATTAAAAAATAGTTAATTATTTAAGTAAAATCAAGCTGAAATAAAACTAAATAAAAATATGCAATGAAAAATGTAGCAGGAGATGTACAAGTACTTAAATGACTAAAAATAAAACTGAAATAAACATAAATAAATAAAAGTGTCAAAAGCACACAACAGCTATTTCAAAATAGGAATAACCGACTATTATAAATTATATAAAAATAACACTGATGAATGTAAACAGTTAAACAGTTCCATGAAAAGGTACAATATCTACTTTCATAAATGCTTAATCATCATGGATCCCTCTGCCCTCACTCAATTAAACTCTTTCTGGAAACTGCTTGTTTTTTTCCGTTGTATCTGTCCTCTTCATGAACCTAGTCAAATCCCTCGGGTGCGGATGCAAGATGCTCTCTTTCACAAACACAATGCAGTCCTGAGCTATTAATTACAGCCAATCAATGTTATGATCAAACCCTCCATCACAAACACAGGAAACACTCATTATTACTGGTGTTTACTAACACAAATATAGCACACACTTGAAACTTGCCAATTAAAGATTTTATCTGTTTATCTGGAAATCAAAATTATAACATTCCCTGATACCTCCTAGCTTTGTGATGGTGGGAACCCTGTGAATATCATACAAACTTGATTTGGACCAGGTACCACCAGCACCTTCTGTACACGCAAGCATAGTTAGAAACTGCAACTTCAGCATCAGCTGAACAAAAACAGGCACAAGCTTATCAGTCCATCCTTAAAGGTCATTGATCTCTTTTTCTATTTTCCGTCTCAGCTGGCCGACGGTCCGTTCGCTTGATGCTCACAAAGAGTACTTTCATTATCTGGCTAAATCAAATCAGATTGGCTGATGTTTGCCAGTAATAACATGCAGGGTTTTTGTCAATCTGCACTGTAATAAAGATAAATAAAACCAGTAAAAGAACAATGTACTAATAATATTCTGCCAGGACATTATTCATTAAAGAAAATCTAGTCCAGCTCTACATTTATACCAGAACAGCCATTTTACACAGATATACACTCACCTAAAGGCACCAGGATTATTAGGAACACCATACTAATACTGTGTTTGACCCTCTTTCACCTTCAGAACTGCTTTAATTCTACATGGCATTGATTCAACAAGGTGCTGAAAGCATTCTTTAGAAATGTTGGCCCATGTTGATAGGATAGCATCTTGCAGTTGATGGAGATTTGTGGGATGCACATCCAGGGCCCGAGGCTCCCGTTCCACCACATCCCAAAGATGCTCTATTGGGTTGAGATCTGGTGACTGTGGGGGACATTTTAGTATTGTGTGAACTCATTGTCATGTTCAAGAAACCAATTTGAAATGACATGGTGCATTATCCTGCTGGAAGTAGCCATCAGAGGATGGGGACATGGTGGCCATAAAGGGATGGACATGGTCAGAAACAATGCTCAGGTAGGCCGTGACATTTAAATGATGCCCAATTGGCACTAAAGGGCCTAAAGTGCGCCAAAAAAACATCCCCACACCATTACACCACCACCACCAGCCTGCACAGTGGTAACAAGGCATGATGGATCCATGTTCTCATTCTGTTTATGCCAAATTCTGACTCTACCATCTGAATGTCTCAACAAAAATCGAGACTCATCAGACCAGGCAACATTTTTCCAGTCTTCAACTGTCCAATTTTGGTGAGATCTTGCAAAATGTAGCCTCTTTTTCCTATTTGTAGTGGAGATGAGTGCTGATTCTGCTGTTGTAGCCCATCTGCCTCAAGGTTGTGCGTGTTGTGGCCTCGAAAGGGAACGTCTCAGGTTATGACTGTAACCATTGTTCCCTGAGAAAGGAACGAGACGCTGTGTTGCACAGCGTGAGTTCCCTCGAAAGTGAACGACTTTCACTTTCACAAGGATTTACAAAAGACATGCTGCTCTTGGTAGACTGTGTAGGGCATGGAAATCATCTGGCTGCGTCCGTGTTATTTCATTTGCCCATTGTCAATAGATCACCTGCATCTGCACTTTTATGAATCAGTTGCTAACTGCCCAAGCGAAAGCTCCACTCATCCAACATGAAATGTATCTACGTCTTTCTGTTTGTAATAACATCTTGAATAAGTGTCTCCTGAGGAAATATTACAGCTTCTCTCCCACTCTCACACTAATTTGGCTTGTTTAGTAAATCTGGCTCCAAATCAACAAAAGCATTTGCATGCAAATAAATTAGATCTGCACAAGCAGAATCATACAGGGGTTGAACAATGAAACTGAAACACCTGGTTTTACAACACAATAATTTGTTAGTATGGTGAGGACCTCATTTTGCAGCACCAATTCATCTTGGGAATGACAGATAGAAGTCCTTCACAGTGACCAGAGGGATTATGAGCCGTTCCTCTTCCAGAACAGTGTCCAGGTCACTATATGATGCTGGTGGACTCGCTCCTCCAAAACACCTCAATAATATTCAGATCTGGTGACTGTGCATGTTCAACGTCACTTTCATCTTCATCAAACCCTTCTGTCACAAGTCTTGCTGTGTGTGTTGGTGCATGATCATGCTGATACACGGTTTGAGCATCAGGTGCTCATGATCCTCCAGAAGGGTTTGGTAGTCCTCGGCAGTGTCGTGTCCATCAAATACAATCAGGATTGTCATGATATTGGAGCTCAAACCATCACTGATCCACCCGTGCTTCACTCTGAAGATTGGCCGCCAGGCATTTAGATGTGAAACCTCCAATATTGGCCAGTGTTTCAGTTTCATTGTCCAACCCCTGTATATTTCACTGCATTTTCCGTGAGGTAGTTATTTTTGGTTGTTACATATTTTTTGCTCATAAAGATGTGACATCATTTAAATACATTTACGCTGGTCTATTATTGTGCCATGATCTGATTTCAGATAACGGTGGTTGGTTCCTTTACGTCAGTCAGATTAGTTCTTGTCCAGTCTAAGTGGGAGGTTCTTATCCATTAAAGACTGGAATGTGGACCAGACTTTACGCCGATAGTCAAAGGTCGGGTTACGTGAGACTCTCGCTGTCTGTCCATCAGAATCAGCTGACACTGACAAAAGAGCGAGAGATTCCAAGCCCGTCTTTTCCCATTCCGTCACAGTTATCTTTGAGAGATTATAGTGGAGACAATGGGAGAGAGAGAGAGAAACAGAGAGAAAAATGCACAAGAAATAAAAGTTCAAAAAAAGCTATAAAAAGTGGACAAAAAATGTCAATTTTAAAGAGGGGCAAAAGCTAAAGTGTAAAAGATTTTCAGTTCTTCATCGCACTCTTTTTCTTGCTCTGTCTCTCTGTCTCTTTCTGTCTCTCTCTCTGGTGTGCAGACAGTGGAGTCTATTCAGACTAAATATACTTCCCCACTATCTCTGTCTCTAAACAAACTCCGAGAGAGAACCAGTGCACGACACAGGAAGACAAGAGAAAGAAAGAACAGCACAGGATGAGAGAGGAATCTGTTCAGGGAAAGAGGGATATACAGAAAGACCAAAAGAAAGAAATGGAATGCCAGAAGGAGAGCGTGTGCGCGGGACACATTGTGACCCTGAAAACGGGACATTTAAGCTTCACACACTGAAAAAAAATCTAAATTAACAAGCTATTTCAAGTCCAAAATATTATTTAACATCACAGAATCAACCTACATAAGCTCATTTATGCGAACAACGTGTATTTTTATGGGTTAAAACAGGTAGAAATGGCTTTAGCAGGTTGCCAATTTGTTCAGTTTGAAATGATAAAACAATTAAAAAAATAAACCGTAAATTTTACGGTAAAAAAACGGTAGCTGTGGTTGCCAGAACTTTACCGTTAAAAATACAGTAGGAACGTTAATGGTTTTACAGACTTAACTTAAAATTTACAGTAATAAACCATATTTTATTTTCTGACAAAATGTTGATTTACCAACTTATTGATAACTGTTTTAGACCATTGTAATACACTGACAACCATCAATCATCACAGCAGTGATGAGAGTTACTTGAGCAATCACAGCTCATCATAAGTGATCACTTATTTAAGTAATACTTATATAAAGAAGCTGCACAGTGTCATTCACACAAACATTAAACACCATCATGGTAACACA